AAATATAAACATCATACATCTCTGGAATGTTGCAGGTGCATTACATAATCCGAAAGACATTCTTCAAAAAGAAAAAGTTCTAAAAGGACTAGTAAATGTTGTCTTTTCTTGATCCTCAAGAGCAATAGGAATTTGATGGTAACCGGTATATCCATCTAAAAAACAAAAATATTTGTGCCCATCAAGTTTATCTACTATTTGGTCTAAAAAGGGTAAAGGGAAGTGATCTTTCCTAGTGACAGTGTTTAATTTTCTATAATTAATGCAAATACGCTACCCAGTAACTTGTCTGATAGGTATTAATTCATTATTTTCTTTTGTTTCAACAGTCACTCCTCCTTTCTTAGGAACACAATGAATTGGACTTACCGAAGCACTATCAGAAATAAGATATATAATTTTAGTGTCTAACCATTTCAAAATTTCCTTCTTAACTACTTCTTTCATCATTGGGTTTAACCTCCTTTAGAGATCAACTCTTAGTTTATATTGTTCATCTAGTGTAATTCTGTGCATACAGATCGAAGGAGTGATTCCCTTAATATCAGCTAAGGTCCAACCAAAAGCTTACTTATATCTTTTTAATGTATTTAATAGTATTTGCTCTTACAAATCATCTAATTCTGAAGATATAATAACAGGTAATGTATATGTAGTCTTCCAGAAACACATACTTCAAGTGGCTAGGTCGGAATAGAAATAGTAGTAGATAAATTCCATCTACGGGTGTAAACGAGACCAATCGAGGTCAAGCCGACTTGTTTATTATAGAAGAGAGAAATAACATTATTTTAATCTAGTATTATTATAAAATGATAAAAAGAATGAATAATTATGAGATAAATACATAAAATATTAAATATCATAATTTAAATATTTTTAATAATTTAAAGATAAAGATTTAAAAATAATATATTTTGAGCGGCTCACTAGCTAACGAGTCGAGTCGAAGTTGGCTTGAGCATAGCTTGTTAGCATCGAGCCCGGCTCATAAACTACTTATCGAGTTGAGCTAGAACTAGCTCACGAATCGACTTGGGCCACTTACACCTCTAATTCTGCTACTGAGAGTTACCTATTGATTAATTTAGTTGCTAAATATGAACGACAGTTTAGCGAATGAATATTTAGCCGCCAAGGTAATTTGACAGAAAAAATATGACAATTACTCAATGGTGGAATAACGGATATCTATTCAGTCGAAAACATTAGTGGTTAAGTTTTCGACCGATTAGCAGCTGAATTGTTGACCGAGTAGTGGCTAACAATTCAAAGTACTACCTTAGTGTCAAAGGTTTTCCATAACAACAAATCCAAAATTTTAACTTTTATACAACAATCAAACATTTCATATCACATTAGAAATACCATCAACCTAAACATCTAAAAAGTAAAATTCAAATTTTCATGCATATATATGGTGGTTTGTTGATGTCGGAATTAAAGTTTAGGCACAAGATATGTAAATACTTAAGAACATTGCTATTTATAACATAAATAAAAATTCAACACTTTTTTCATCCAAAATCAAATTAAAGATGTTAGATATGAAATTTTTATTCACAAATGTAAACATTGAAATTTGAAGAAATCCAATTAAAACATGGGGCAATTACTAAACAACAACCCATAAAGAATTGGTTTGGTGTGCCTCTACTCATCATCGAGAGTAGGAACCGAACCGCTGCCGAGAGCAACAAAGTTGATGTCAATATCCACCCTGAGCTGCTATCGTGGAGGGAAACATATATGAGAGGAAATCAGAACCGAGTGATAATAGAGAAGTTAAATGAGAGAAATGAGAGTTTCAAGCCATCAATTTAGATATAACTAGACTTTGCGGCCAATTACCATTTGAACCATCAGCCGGCAATTCTTCTCTAGAATTCAGTCGGTAGACCAGACGCATTTATGTAAGTTTATTTATTGGCCAAAAAGTCAGTCGCCATTCCACTAAATAAATATTTAGTCCTGATGGTTTCCCAGTCTACATCCTATGCCTTGGATCTGATCTGACAACTGGACGTAAAATTAGTCACAAAGAAA